AATCACGTTGAGTTGTCAACAGACAATTCAGCATGAAAGGCTTCTAAGTATAAATTTAGAAAAACAGCATTTGAAGGCAGTCCACCTTTGCTAAGACCCTGAGAAGCAAGACAATCCGTGCTTAAAGATGAGCACTGTCACGAGAGTCAGAGCCTTTGAAGCAGCCTTGGGTGGAGTCATACCCTAAGACAAGACCTCGTCAAACAGGTATGAAAAAGAGGAGGAGCACGTGGAGGTGAGGCCGCATACACTTATTCGCTCACTCACTTGTGTGTTTCGTCATCCATTCAGCAAACATTTATTGCTAAGCATTGGGCTCCTAGACAGTGAGGAGCCACTGACTGTTTTTAAGAAAGGAAATAATATGATGAGATTTTCAGTGTAGAACGATCATTTTGAAAATGTATATGTGCATAGACAAAACCAAAAGGACATGCACCTCAGTGCAAACACACTTGTCTCTGGGTGGGGAGATTGCAAATAAATGGTATTTTCTTTTCTAAATCTTTTGGTATTTTCCAAATATCCCACAATGAATGTTTATTACTTTTTATCAGAAAAAAAAACACTTATAAGAAAGAAGATAGAAAGATGAAACTGATAACAGCATGGAGGAAATACATCACACATTTGTGATTTGATGTTTTTCTGACGAGGACACCCTTCCGTTTCTCTCACCTTCTTCCCCTTCACCTGGTTGCCTCCTATTCATTCCTCAGTTTTCAGTTGAAACTTTCCTTCATGGAAAAGATTTACCTGACCCCTAAGGCTAGGTGAGGTCTCCAAGTTTGACACTCTCAGCCCCCAGGGTCCTCCCACCACTCATCATACTTGCCAGTATGGTTTTGACATCTGCCTTTCTGCCAGAATGTAAGCCCCACAGGGCAGGCATGACATCTGCCTTGTTCACAGCTGTTTCCCAAGCCCATTAGTCACTCCACAAACATTGTTGGAATGAATCAACAATGGCTTTAAAGGATGTAAGACTGGAGACAAGCAGATTAGTAAGGAGGCAATTAAGATAGTCTGGACAAGGGAGGAAGAGTGCCCGACCTAAAGGAAGAGTAGAGCGAAAAAGGGGAGAAAACAGCCCTTGGAGATGTTATGGCATCAAGTCTGCAGAACCTAGTGACTTCTTGGACTCATTCACCAAGAGGGAGAGGTTTGGAGAATATTTTGGAGGTAGTACTCATAGCACTTGCTGATGGATTAAATGTAGGAATGGTGGAAAGGGGACTATCAAGGAGACCTCAAGAGTTTTTGTCTTGAGCAGCTGGATGTAAGATGATACAATTTCCTGAGATTGAGAAGGGAGGGATCAAGAGTTCCAATTTGGGATGAGAAGAAAGGATGAGGGAGAAATGAAGGGTGAATCTCAGATTTTGGCTTTGGGTCATTCTCTTAGGCAGGAAATACAGAAGGTGAACCAAGCTTGAGAGAAAGATGAATTCAGTTTTGGACATGTTGAGTTTGTCCACTGAGACATCCAAAATATCCAATGAGATTATAGGGGTCTAGAATTCAGGGGAAATTTCTGGACAGAGGCAGATGTAGACTTAGTGGTGATAACTGAAGTCATCAGGTGAAAGAAGACAGGTGAAAACTGAGAAGGGCAGAAAGACACCAACATCAAAACCCTTGTGAAACTGATGTTTACAGAGGAAGAGACATCCTATAAGGATATTGAGAGGAAACTGACAGAGGAGTAAAAATATCAAATTACATGAAAGAATGAGTGCCATTTTGATCAAAGCAAGAGTTCAAAGAAGAGAGTAGCACATTGGAGTGGTAAGCAGAAACCAGATTTTGAAGGTCCTTGAATGCAAGTCAAAGAAGGTGACTCTTTATCCAGCGCCTTCATGATTAACAGTGATGACATGCATAGACATGCCAGCCATACCTGGCTAAGCCTCCCAGCCCTATAGGGCAATTGAGAAACACTGTGGCTCAAGGGTCCAAACTCTTGATCCACATGGTCAAGATTTAGAGATAGGAAGTAGAGAGTGGCCTGTTAAAAATATATTTCTCATCAAAAATGTCATCTAACCCAAGTCACCACCGACTTGAGAATAAAACCCAGAATTTCAAAGGCCATCATTATTCTTGCTTGGTTCTTATAGCCAGCCCCTCAGCAATAACAAAGGACAAAAAACATCCCCCAGGAATCCTCCTTGTCTAGCCAACTCCAAAACCAACCACAGCTCATCCAATAACCTCTGTGATGAGCCTCTGTTCCAGAGCTTCGGCGCCACACGAACCATGTGTTAGTTTATGTTCCAGTAGGAGCCACCAGACAAGTGCAGAAAAATGTCTGTCCTCCTTTCCATTACAATGTTCCAGAAGAAGAAAATGACCTGAGGCAAGGGGAAGACAGGCATCATGACTCATTTAAACCCTGGCAGCCTTACTTTCTGCCATACCACTGTGGTTTGAAGAAAGGTTTAAACATAAGCTTCAGAAACAATTGCAAGTGAAAAATCTGGGTAAACGTAACCACAGAGGGAGATGGAGAGGAGCTGGGTCTTTGCAGAAGGCAACAGGGTGCATGGTGACAACGTGAACCTGAAGGTACAGTAAGGCACCTTAGCAGATCCTTGGCGGGGAGGTTGCGTGTCACAGGACGATGCACCTCTCTGTGTGCACTGGAAAGATGAACAGGGATTCAGACTGAGTGCCAAAGATAGTTAGCAACTGGCAGTAGGTTTACAAATGCCTGCATGAGACTGCGCTCGGCATAAACACTTTGCAGACACACATTGTGTGGTTGCTTTCAGAAAGCCCTAAGCTTCCAGCCACTGACAGAAGCCAGAAGCTGCAGAGACTTAACTGGGAGATGAGCTGGACAGGCCTGCAGCCCTTGAGGGAACAGGCTGGCCCTGAGAACTCTGTGCTCGGGAAACTGGTTGGGGAGAACAGGGAAGAAAGACCAACGCAAACCCAGTCGAATGTGAAGTTCTTTGATCCAAGCTTTGGCCAACCAACCCCCTAGCCTCCAGTTTCACTTCGTGCTGGGCTCCTCTTCTAGTGGAAGGTGAGTGAATAGGTAGAGAAGTCTTTTGAAAAGAGAGGCCATCTCTGGGGGACGCAAAAGCCAGAGCCTGAGGAGCTGATGTTCTGAAGCACCAGATGCCTGTGGTCGATCCCTCTAAGTTCCCTCAAGATGCACCTTGTTGGAGAAGACAAACCCCTTCTTTCCCTTGGCTCAGGGCTGAGGCCCAATGTGTCCAGTGGAATCAAGGAGGCAAAACTGCCAGAGGGAAAGTCACAGGTGAGGAGGGACCAAGAACAGGTTAAGGATACCAATGAGGCCTAAAAGTGAGGTCTAAGGCTAAGAGTACAATGTCAAAGTGGAGGGTTGGTGGGGGAGAGGAAGATAAATACCAAAGACACAACCTCTGCTAGTTGCACCCAGTCCTGTCCTGTCCACCAAACACCAGGCACCCTGCTGGGTGCTACAAAAGCCAAAAAGACGAGTTTCCTATGCCTGTGGAGCTCACGGTGTTCTAAACAAGCAGGCTACACAAGTCTGTTCACGTGGTGAGTGCTGAAGCTGGGGTGCTAGGAGCCAACAGAGGAGCAGCCCTAACCCTGCCTGGGGTCCCCAGGGAAAGCCTCCTGGAGGAGACAGGAGTAGATGCTTCGAAGTCAGAAGCAATGCTGTGCGCACATGCGTGTGCGTGTGCATGGGTACACGTGTGCACATGCATATAATATATATCCCCCACAGTCCTGTATAGTATTTTGCATATGGCAGATACATAATAAAGGTTGTTGAATGAACACAAGGATTAATTGCTTTTTCTATTTGTATCTTTCTAACCATTCCTTTGCTTTCTTCCTAAAACTTATTCTTCTTTTCCTTTACTGGAAATGCCCAAAGAGTTTCATTTTGGGGTAAGGTCCAATAAACTGGATGCCCATCATATCTAGAAATTGCCATTTCATGACATGAGGCAATATTGGAGGAAAGGATGTCTGTGGCCCACTGTTAGAAGGGGAATCATCGCCATCATAATCATCATAGAGCATTTATCGAACACTCACTGTGTGCCAGGTGCTGTTTTAAGGGCTTTAAGTATGAAACGTGCTAAATCATTTTATCCTCACAATAGCCCAATGAGGTGGGTATTATTACAAGTGAGGACTTCAACTGATGCACAGAGAGGTCAGCTAACTTGCTCAAGGCCCCAGAGTGAGTTAAGTGGGTAAGCCAATGCTGTCTGGCTCAAGAGCCTGCAACTTCTACTGCGTCCCACCCTTGGGACTGAAAACCAAAGGTAAAAGCATGGTGAGCTTACACCCCAGTATGCAGGCCAGAGACCGCTAATTATTTAAAGAATTTTTAAGCTATGTAATATCTACCAGTACATTTTCCCCTAATTTCCTCTGTTTCCCTGTAGGGATGGGCAGATCCTAAACTCAAATAGTTTTTTAGATGATCACTTTTGCCTGAGCTTTTCTTCCAGTGGTATGAAACATAAGCCATAGAAAACAAGATAATGTTAGAATGATGGAGCACATCATTTTTTCCATCAGATAGTAGGGACAAGTCAAGGTCCCACTGTTTTCTGGCATTAGGAGCTCAAGAAGGCCTGGGGACTGAGATAAAAGACCACAATGGCAGGACTGGCTTTCTTGGCCTCAGGTCAATGTCCATGCTTTGGTCTCACCATCTGAAAAATGGAGATAATGATCTTTCAGCCTTGTTAGAGCATTGCAAGATTAACCAACTCATGTCCATATCTAGAAATCTGGGTCTTCTCAGAGGAAACAATGATTACCAAGATTTGTTAATCCAAATAATGTCATCATTGGTTGGTGCCAATCCTCTTTGATTCCTAAGTATTAAAGTCAGCATTAATCAGAACCCACCCTATTACTATAGAAGGATGAAGGATAACTAAAAGAAGCAAAAGGGAAAAAGAGAATCCTGTGAAAGGCCTGTGTGGTAACTATGGACATCCCACACAGACAAATACATTCTACAGTCAAGTACTCACATGTGTGGGCCTGTTCTCTCCTTTTCATTACATCAGCTTTTCCTGCTGGGTCGCCATTCCCCGTCATTACTGCAAATGCTCCTCCTTTTCTAGAAGCAGACCCTGTGGTTACTGAAAGCATGAGACTGAGGTTTTTTACAGAATCTCAGATCAAATCAGAGTGGGAGACGCTTGGCCTGCCATCAAACCACAAGCACAGACTTCAAATGTATGAGAGGACAAGTCTAATCTCTACTTTGCTGATTAGCATAATCTATAAGGTTTTACCAAATATGACCTGAAGTCCATTCATTCAAATATTCACCGAATGCATACTATGTACTAGGGACTGTTCTAAGACAGGGGGATATAGAATTGAACAAAATAGACTAATGATCATCGGCATCATTGCAGCCCTCATGGAATTTAAATTTTTATAGGGAAACACAGATTAGCATTCCCTGTAGTAGAAGGGAATCAACGTTAACGAAGTTCTGCCCTGTGGTTCTGTGAAAGAAGTAAACGAATTAATGGCAGTTTATATTCTTCATGTATCTTTTACACTAGATTTCTCAGCACTGCACAGCATACTAATGACCCTACAGCTTGCGTCCTATGGAGATGTAGCGAGGTAGGTAGTTACCATTGTACTTTTTTCCCCACTTCTCTTCCTTGAGCAGAGAAGTCAGGGTGCTTGTTCACTATGAATTACATCTGAGGAAGTAAAAACAAAACTCCTAATGGAACCCAGACAGCAGATGTCCAGCAAGTAGATCTCAATCCGGTAACTTAATTACTTGAGGAAAAGGCATTTATTGAGGACAGAATGCTTACTATGTGCCCTGTATCATGAGACATCCAAGACAGTTTATGACATGAATCCCACCCTCAGAGAGACAAGACATGAAACAATTAGCAAACAACACAAAAGACTACGTTAGTTATTTATGACAGCAAAGAGCAGAAGATGAAAAAAACATTTAGAAACACAATTTTAATTTCCTTTTAAAAAATAAATCAGGACAAAATTCAAATTTACCTGGTTTGACTGACAACTGATAAAGTTAGCAGGAAACAAGATGTGTCCAGGAATGTTTTTCTTACTCTAACACAAGTTAGCTTGGAGGTGGGGGATGGGATAGAACTTAAGGATCTTTGGGTTTCTGGAAGAAAGCCATGGAGAGGGGTCTTGGACAGACATGAAATGTAGAGTGAGTGTTCTCTTCTTGCTCCGTCCCAGGCCCCAGCATGGACCACAGACAGAAAGACATAGTACATACTTCTGCTCCGGGGCTGCTAGGAGGCCTGCAGGGGTCACCTGACCATGTATTTTCTTCAGAAAAGGGGCCTCTGCCATGTGCCGGCATCCTTGGGACTCGCCCTGTGGCTTTGTGGAGTTTCTACTCTCAAACCCTACTAACTATGGCTCTTTGATATCTTCATCCCCATAGCTACCAAAAGCAATGCATTTCACCTAAATTGCTAACATTTGGCCTTTTCATCAGGGTTTGTAATTTAGAAAAACTAGGAAGAGGAGAAAGAAAAAAGGAAAAGGGGAAATGATGTGAAAGAAGGAAGAAGCTGCTTTCCTATCAACTGTTGATTCCCCCAAATGAAAATCAATTAAGAACATTGCCAGAGAAAATGGGCGTGACCTCGTCTCTGAAACCACACAAAACATTTTGTTTCAGCCTGGACCACAAGCAGCTGGAGGAGAGCGCCTTGGTGGGCACAGTCAGATCCAAAACCTCAGAGTAAGTGTAGATTTCCCTGTGGTAAGAGGAGAGGGAGGCACCCATACAGCCAGAGAGGCAGGAGTGAGCCAGAGTCAGCTTGACAGTCAAGAGGACTGTGGCCTTGGGCACAGAGGCCACAGGGAAGGAGAGGGCTGTAACTCTCCTGGAACTCCACTGAGGCAGGAGATATGGAATCCTTGAAAGCCAGGTACCCCTTGAGGTCCTTGTCTCTCCACGTAGCAGGCAAGGCTCTCTTGGGCATTCTAGGAGACAGCAGAGTGACCACATCTGCTTGAACTTCAGCCAGATGAATAAGCACTGTCATCATCATCCAGGGTTTATTGGGTCTGGCTCTGTGTGGGGAAACTGCTTGATTCTAGGAATATAGAGGTCAAGCCTTGTCTCTATCCTCATGGACTTCACTTTCTTACCAGAGGAACAAGACACAGGCTCTGTGACTGTATTTTAGAGAAGTCCATGAAAGCCCTTCACTCTCCCATCATCTTCTTGAGGCAACTCAGGTTCCTCTCCTCTGGAAGAGACAAAACATCTAGATTACCCCCATCAGCATTGCAAGTGTGGTCTTTGCATGCCTAGGAAGGGAGAGACAAAGGGGCCCTTTTTTCTAAAACATCAGGCCAGCAGGTTGTATTCATAGAGGCTGGGCTTGAAGGCAAAGTCCGTGAGCAATGAAGAGAGAATTTCATGCCAGTCCAGTCCTTTCCCATTCAGATTGTCAGTGTCTTGTTAGGACATAGTCAGAGGTAAGAGTCTGAATCATTTCAACCCAACAAATACATATGAGCATCTACTATACACCAGGCCCTTCACGAGGAAGTTGGGTAAAACAACACATTGTCTTAAGGAACTTTCAAATAAGTTGGGGGAAATTAATACAAATATATATATATATATATATATATATATATATATATATATATATATATTTTGACAGCTTGAGGAACAGGTCAACCAAGTACAAGATTGAAAGAGTTGTATGTGAATATAACAGTCCCACCCTCCTTAATTTTGACTTCCCTCAATGAGAAACTCTAATAAATATGTGCTTACCTTTGTGTATCTCTTTAGAAACTCAGGATGACCAAGTCTTGAGCACACAAATTGTGACACTCCTAATGGAGTCAAATAGGAAAAGAGGAACTAGGAGGTGAGAGTGGAATAATGAAGTAAAACAGATGCATAAGAAGTAGAGTTGCTGGCATTGAAGTCTTGATAATGTTTCAGGAGATGAGGGTAGTGGGTTGAATTCATGTCCATCCACAACCTCAGAATGTGACTTTATTTGACAATAGGATCTTTGCAGATGTAATTAAGGTAAGGATTGAAATGACACCATACTGGATTAGAACGGCCTAAATTCAAATGAGAGTGTTCTTATAAGAGGCAGAAAAGAACACAAAGACACATACAGGGTAGAAGGTCGGGGGAAGACAGGAGCAGAGAATGGAATGATGACGCCACCAACCAAGGAATGCCAGGAACCACTGGAAGTTGGAAGAGGCAAGGAAGGGTCCTCCCCTAGAGCCTTTGGAGGGAGGGTGGCCCTTCTGACATCTAGATTTTGGACTTTCTGGCCCCCAAAGCTGTGAGAGAATAAATTTCTGCTGTTTTAAGCCACCCAGTTTGTGGCAATTTGTTACAGCAGACACAGGAAACTAATACAATGAGGAATATAAACCAGGTCCAAGGAGTGACATCAGCATCATGGCAGAGTGAGCTCTTCCCTTAGTCTCTCTTCTCTAAGATATAAGGAACAGGACATTCATAAACTAACAGAGAATATTCACACAACACAAAACATATCTGAGAGACCCACACAGCCATAAGTCTGAAAGTGGAGGCATTGGGCCCCCCCTACAAGGAAGTGGAAGGAGGTAAAGGGATCTCCCCTCTCACCCCCACTGGCAGTGACCCAGGGCATGGGATGATGCACAGCTCTGAGAAAAGAGCAAGGAGGGGTGGCTTTCTGCAGGAATGCCTTCACTCTCCAAATTCCCTCACAAACCATGGGAAAGCTCCACGCAGAGGAGGTTAAGCTATTGTGGGGGTGTCTTCATCAAGCCAGCACCCCGGGAGAGCAGATAGTGAGGGCAGAGTGAGAACGCCCCTGGGATGGTGCATGTGAAAAAAAGTGCTCCTCCTCCGCCCAGTGCTGTAGTTCAGCCAGTTGGCCAGAGCACCCATGTATGCATTAGAAAAGAAGCAGCTGCAACCAAGTGAGTTGACAATCACAGATGGGCCCTATCAGCATAGATTCCAAAGGACAGGCACAGATGCCAAGGATCATGGTGGGTTCAGAATACACAGCTCCTGCCCCCCTGCCCCGAGGGGCAACAGGTGGAATCTGCAACCAGATACTATCACTATGCAAAAGCAGAAATCCACACCATCAAACAGTATGAAGTATATATTATGAATATATATTAATACTCCAGACCAAAAGGAAAATGACAAGCACCCAGAAATAAATCCTGAAGGCACAGAAATTTACAATCTAAATGATAGAGAATTCAAAACAGTTATCATAAAAAAAACTCAATGAGTTACAAGAAAATTCAGATAGACAGTTCAATGAAATCAGGAACAAAATTAATGAACAGAGGGAATTCTTCACAAAAGAGATTGAAACTATAAAGAAAAACCAATCAGAAATGTTGGAGATGAAAAACACAATGAATGAAATAAAGAAAAATCTGGACTCCCTGAATAACTAATATTATGGAGGATAGAATTAGCAATCTGGAGGACAGAAATACAGAAATGCTTTAGATAGAAGAGGAGAGAGAACTAAGACTAAAAAGAAATGAAGAAATTCTCTGAGAAATATGTGATTCAATTAGAAAATACAACATAAGGATTATAGGTATCGCAGAGAGAGAAGAGAGAGAGAAAGGAGCACAGAGCTTGTTCAAAGAAATAATAGCTGAGAACTTCCCAAATCTGAGGAAGCAGCTGGAGATACAAGTAAAAGAAACTAATTGAACTCCTAATTACACCATGTAAAAAGACCTTCTCTAAAGCATATGTTAATAAAACTAGCAAAAGTCAATGACAAAGAAAAAATATTAAGGGCAGCAAGGCAGAAGAAAATAACTTACAAAGGAACCTCTATTAGACTTTCAGTGGATTTCTCAGCAGAAACCTTACAGGCTAGGAGAGAGTGGAATGATATATCAAAATTCTGAACAACAAAAACTTTCAGCTAAGAATATTCTGTCCAGCAAAAATATCCTCCAGATATGATGGAGAAATAAAAACTTTCCCAGACAAACAAAAACTAAGGGAGTTCATTGCCACAAGACCCACCCCTGACACACAAGAAATCATCAAGAAGGTCCTCATACTTGAAAGAAAAAGAAAGCATTCACAAAGCGTTGAGCAAGGAGATAAATGGACAGACAAAATCAGAAAATTGAAGGCTTCTATCAGAACAGGTTAGCAAACAATTATGACGTTAAAGATAAAGGGAAGGAAAACATCAAAAATAACTATAATTTCATCATTTTAACCACAAGCTCACAACACAAGATGGAATAAGTTGTGACAACAACAACTTAGAAAGAAAGAAGAAAGAGATGGAACCTGCTTAGGCTAAGGAAATAAGAGGCTATCAGAAAATAGACTATCACATTTATGAAATTTTTATACAAACCTCATGGTAACTACTAAACAAACAATCAGAACAGAGATACAAATAATAAATAAAGAGAAAACTGAGAAAACCATCATAGAGAACTAACAAACTGAATTTGTAGTGCAAAATACATGGAACAAGAAACAAAGGAAATATAGAACAACTTGAAAATGAGTGATAAAATGGCAGCACTAAGTCCTCTTGTATCAATAATCACTCTAGAGGTAAATGGTTTGAATCCTCCAATCAAAGGACACAGAGTGGCAGGATGGATTAAAAAAACAAGACCCAACAATAAGCTGCCTCCAAGAAACATGTCTCGGCTCTAAAGACAAACACAGGCTCAGAGTGAAGGGATGGAAGACAATACTCAAGCCAATGGCAAATAAAAGAAGGCAGGTGTTGCCATACTTACATCAGACAAAGTAGACTTCAAGATAGAACAGGCAATGAGAGACAAAGAGGGGCAATATATAATGATAAAAGGGACACTCCATTAAGAAGAAATAACACTTATAAATATACATGCACCCAACACAGGAGCATCAAAGTACATAAAGCAACTATTAACAAACCTAAAAGGAGATATTAATAACAACACAATAATAGTAGGGGACCTTAACACCCCACTTACATCAATGGATAGATCATCCAGACAGAAAGTCAACAGGGAAAAAGTGGAATTAAACAAAAAAAACTAGACCAGATGGACTTAATAGATGTATATAGAACACTCCATCCAAAAACAGCAGAATACACTTTCTTCTCAAGGATAGACCATACGGTGGGAAACAAGGCAAGCCTCAATAAATTTAAGAAGATTGAAATCATACCAAGCATCTTTTCCAACCATAATGCTATGAAACTAGAAATGAACTACAAGAAAATAGCTGGGAAAGTGACAAATATGTGGAGACTAAACAACATGCTACTGAACAACCAACGGATCATTGAAGAAATTAAAGAAGAAATAAAAAAATATCAGGAGACAAGTGAAAATGAAAATACACCATACCAACTCATATGGGATGCAGCAAAAGCAGTCCTAAGAGGGAAATTCATAGCAATATATGCCCACCTTAACAAACAAGAAAAATCTCAAATAAGCAATCTTAAACTACACCTAACAGAATTAGCAAAAGAAGAACATACAAAGCCCAAAGTCAGCAGAAGGAGGGAAATAATAAAAATTAGAGCAGAAATAAATGAAATTGAAACAACAAAAAAAAACCCAACACAGTAGAAAGGATCAATGAAACTAAGAGCTGATTCTTCGAAATAATAAAATTGACAAGCCCTTAGCCAGACTCACTAAGAAAAAAAGAGAGAAGCCTCAAATAAATAAAATCAGAAGTGAAAGAGGAGAAATTACAAGAGAGACCACAGAAATACAAAGGATTATAAGAGAATACTATGAAAAACTATATGCCAACAAATTGGACAATCTAGAAAGAACAAATAAACTCTCAGACTCATACAACCTCTCAAAACTGAATCAAGAAGAAATAGAGAATTTGAATAGATCAATCACAAGTAAAGAGATTAAAACAGTAATCAAAAACCTCCCAAAAAGAAAAGTCCAGGACCAGATGGCTTCTCTGGGAATTCTACCAAACATTCAAGGAACATTTAATACTTATCCTTCTCAAACTATTCCAAAGAGTAGAAGAGGATGGAACACTTCCTAACACATTTTATGAGGCCAACATCACCCTCATTCCAAAACCAAACAAGGACAACACAAGGAAGGAAAATTACAGGCCAATATTGCTGATGAACATAGATGCAGAAATCCCCAACAAAATATTGCCAAACTGAATACAGCAATACATTAAAAGGATCATACACCATGATCAAGTGGGATTTACACCAGGGACACAGGGATGATTCAACATCAACAAATCAATCAGTGTGATACACCACATTAACAAAATGAGGAATAAAAACCACACAATCATCTCAATAAATGCAAAGAAAGCATTTGACAAGATACAACATCCATTTATGATAAAAACTCTCAATAAAATGGGTATAGAAGGAAAGTACTTTGACATAACAAGGGTCATATATGACAAACCCACAGCCAACATCACACTCAACCAGGAAAAACTGAATGCCATCCCTCTGAGAACAGGAACAAGACAAGGGTGCCCGTTCTTGCCACTCTTATTCAACATAGTACTGCAGGTTTTGGCCAGAGCAATTAGGCAAGAAAAAGAAATAAAAGGATCCAAATAAGCAATGAAGAAGTGAAACTCTCACTCTTTGTAGACAACATAATTTTATATATAGAAAACCCTAAAGAATCCATTGGAAAACTATTAGAAACAATCAACAACTACAGTAAAGTTGCAAGGTACAAAATCAACTCATAAAAATCAGTTGCCTTTCTATATTTTAATAACAAACTAACAGAAAGAGAACTCAAGAATACAATCTCATTTACAATAAAAAAAAAAAGAATAAAATATCTAGGAATAAATTTAACCAAGGAGGTGAAAGACCTATACAGTGAAAACTATAAGACATTATTGAAAGAAATCAATGATGACATAAAGAAATGGAAAGATCTTACATGCACATGGATTGGAAGAATAAACATAGTTAAAATGTCATACTACCTAAAGAAATCTGCAGATTCAATGCAATCCCAATCAAAATCCCAATGACATTCTTCATGGAAAAAGAACAAAAAAATCTTAAAATCCATATGTGGCAACAAAACATTCTGAATAGCTAAAGCAATCCTGAGAAAAAAGAACAAAGCTGGAGGCATCACAATTCACGACTTTAAAATACGCCACAAAGCAACAGTAGTAAAAACAGCACGGTACTGGTACAAAAACAGACACACACGGGCTGGCTTGGTGGTGTAGTGGTTAAGTTCAAGTGCTCTGCTTCGGTGGCCTGGGGTGTGTGGGTTTGGATCCTGGGTGTAGACCCACACACTACTCATCAAGCCATGCGGTGGTGGCATCCAACATACAAAATGGAAGATTGACACAGATGTTAGCTCTTGGCCAATCTTCCTCACACACATGCATAAAAAGATGTACACATCAATGGAACAGAATTGACAGCCCAGGAAAAAAACCCCACACATCTACAGACAGCTAACCTCCGACAAAGGAGCTAAGAATGGAATGAAGAAAGGAAAGTCTCTTCAATAAATGGTGTTGGGAAAACTGGACAGCCACATGCAAAAGAATGAAAGTAGACCATTATCTTTTGCCATACACAAAAATTAACTCAAAATGCATTAAAAAAAAAAAACTTGATGGTAACACCTGAAACCATAAAACTTCTAGAAGGAAATATAGACAGTACACACTTCGACATCAGTCTTACAAGGATCTTTTCGAATACCATGTCTACTTGGGCAAGGGAAACAAAAGAAAAAATAAACAAGTGGGACTTCATCTGACTAAAGAGCTTCTGCAAGGCAAAGGAAATCAGGAGCAGAACGAAAAGACAACCCACCAAATGGGAGAAAATATTTCCAAATCATACATCAGACAAGGGGTTAATCTCCAAAATATATAAAGAATTCATACAACTCAACAACAAAAAAACAAACAACAGACTAAAAAATGGGCAGAGGATATGACCACAGATTTTTCCACAGAAGATATACAGATGGCCAATAAACACATGAAAAGATGTTCAACATCACTAATCATCAGGGAAAT